TTAAAAGAGGTTAGTTTCATACATCAACCTAGTATTAACTTCGAAGAAAGGATAAATCAAAGCCATTTTATGAGATGAGTTATGGAGTTACACAGCCAGCAAATCCATTCATGCTTTTACAATGCAGCGCTATAACCCTTCAGGTGTATTTTTCAGATTAGCATATAGGAGTGGGCACACCACAGATGTTAGCAACCCTTCTGACATTGGAAGCGTTAACACAGTGACTCAGGCTTGGATTTCTTATATACCCACTAAGGCAAGGTTCTTACTCCTTCAGCTTGCATCCGATGGATGTAGCGACAACATTATTACCCCACACAAAAATCAGCTCCAGTGGGCTGCAATGACCTTCTCCGCCATGCAATTTGCAAACAAACAGAACCTTGGTCTGATGCTTAAAAGATGGCTCAATTAAAGCATGTTTATGAATTGTTTATAAATGGTTTAAATTATAAATACATAAAAAATCGTGTAGGATTTCTAGTGTTTAATTATGTTTGTTAATTTGCATAATTTATTGTAAAAATATAAAAATAGCTTTAATTGTGTTGGTTATTCATTGTAATAATATACAAAAGAAAAAAAAAAGGTAAAATGACCTAGGACAACGTCCAAAAAATATTGCAAAAAATAAGGATAAAAGCGAAGCTAACAATCAAGAAAAGTTGTGATAAGATGAAGACAAAAGTAAAGATAACATTCAAAAAATATTGCATATATGTTGAAGACAACTTTCAAACAAATGTTGCAAAAAGAATAATAACAGTACTCAAAAAACATTGTGAAAAGTTAATCACAAAATTTCGATAACACTTCAAAAAATGTTGCAAAATTTTTTTTTGCAATAGTTACTGAACTTTTAAAAAAGTTCAACACAGAAGTTTAGACAATACTCATAAAATATTGCAAATAAGTTTTACGCAATAGCCAATGAACATTGCAAAAAACAAATGGTAACGGTCATTGATAGCCTATCGCAACGGTCTTTAAACATTGCCGTGTCCATCAACTATACAATAATATCGAAACCCACAGCGTACGCTTATTTTTCACAATGTTTTTTGCCTGCTACAAAAGATATATAATTTCTGTTTATAGTGTATTCCTAAGTTACAATTTTAATTATTGCCACTATCATTTCTCTTCTGTTATTTATCACCAGGTTTATGAACATTTGCAAGGTGTTTCTGAGTTTTCAAAATGCAAATATAAATATTAAACATATTGACTTATCAATTTGTCAAAAAAAAGGGGAAAAAATCATTATGATTTCGATCTAAGACCAGAGTACCAACCCATCCTGAATTCAGTCCATTTTTGTTATCAAATGGGGTTGGTCGGTTTTAGATTGGGCCAACTGACCAAGTAGTGTTGTTTGTGATTGGGTCCAAAACCTTCGTAGTGTAAAATCACATTTCAGCTTGAGCTGAAGTGTCGTTGTTCCGTTTAAAGCATCCTATTGATGGTTAGAGGTGATTTTGGAGAGTTATCTTGCTTCCCTAACCCATCTAGTTCATCATTCCATACATAAAAGTCAGCTGCAATATCCACCAAAACGTCATGATCTGCTCTCATTTCTTACCTATGGTATTATCCTATTTCTCTCACCACAAGACAACCAATTTGGCCGTATGCTCTCAAACTACAGTGATTGGAAATCCCACTTCACACATTTCTCACATCATCAGCCCAGTTTCAATGACCCCCCTCCACCTCCCCGTTACCACGGTTCACACCAATGTAATACATTCTAGGTCTTTTTGCAGTATAAGAAGTATAGTTATAAATTATATTTACTTTTAGATGAAGCCCCAAACTAAGCGCATATTTGACAACTATTAGTTCAAAATTCTTTTTAATACATAATCGTTTTCAACCACACTATTCAAAACAATTTTTTAAGAAAAATGGTTGTCAAATAGGGGCAACTTAATTGTTTTAAACCCGCAAAAAATCCACAATAATGTTCAATTCATAATTTAAGTTTTCAAATACTTTTTGGTCAAAAAGGTTCCCAAGAATTTCTGTGAAGTTTCATTGAAGTTTTAAATTTAATTAAAAAAAAATTTTAAATTTTTTAGAAATTAGAAAGCTTTACCGAAAGTTCCAAAACGTTTTCTATCAAGATTTTTAATTAAAAATAGAAAAAAGTAGCATCTACAATTGATTAATTTATCTTTAATACCTAACGCAATGTGGAGTCTAGCTCATTGATTCATTAATTTATCTTTAACACCTACCACAATGTGGAGTCTAGCTCATGTCGGCATTTAAGCCAATCCAAATATCAAATATACTAGTAATCACGGAATAATAAAATCAATCTAGATTATATTAAGTTCCTGTTTGTAGGGATTAAGATTATATTTTTAATAAATTTTAATAAAAGTTGATGTAATAAATAGTTGAAAAGTCGTGAATCTCATTGAATATGTAGTTAAATTAATTGTCGACTTTAACTTAAATTAAAATTTGAATTTTAGTTCCTACGAAATAAGAATTAAGTAAAATTAAATGAGAAATACTATTACATGATTCTACATTTTAGCCCCATTTGATGTAGTTTATAATGAAATTTTTAAGTAAGTTTTGATAAAAATTAATAAAATGTATAATCAAAATTAATTGTGAACTTTTACTTGAGATTAAAATCAGATTTTAATCGAAACCAAATTTTGATTTTAATCGAAACCAAATATTGACTTAATTGAGTCTATTACATAATGACAACTAAATTGATCATAATGTAACACTGATAATAGTAAATTACACTATTCAATTAGTAAAGCCGAATTGGGATGATAAGATCAAGTGAACCTGCCAACTATATCTATATTTGTATATATTTAGCGTCTATGTAATGGGAATTATAATTAAATTTTAGTAGATATTTATAAAAATTGATAAAATATGCAGTTGAAAAGAAGTGGATCCAATGAAATACTTGATTTTTATTAATTTTGACTTAAACTAAAATCGGACTTAGGGTAAAAAATAGTCAATTATGCAACTTTCAAAGATTGAAAGGTCAACAATAGTGGTTACACGATTCAAAGTCTATTTTGCCCTTCCAGTAATGCGTGTTTATGAATTTTTGTGAAAAAGAAAAAGAAAGAAAAAAGGTCCACGTTTTCTATTCTATGTTTAAACTATTTGTAGCGATAAAGAGAGAGGGCGAGAGAGATTGAAGAATTGCAAGATACTGCAAGAAAGAAAAAAAAAATTAATTTTTTAAAAATTGGAAAGCTTTACCGAAAGTTCCAAAAAGTTTTCTATCAAGATTTTTAATTAAAAATAGAAAAAAGTAGCACCAACAATTGATTTTAATTTAATTTATCTTTAATACCTAACGCAATGTGGAGTCTAGCTCATTGATTCATTAATTTAACTTTAACACCTACCGCAATACCTACCACAATGTGGAGACTAGCTCATGTCGGCATTTAAGCCAATCCAAATATCAAATATACTAGTAATCACAGAGATTAATGCTATTATTGATATTATAAAATCAATCTAGATTATATTAAGTTCCTGTTTGTAGGGATTAAGATTATATTTTTAATAAATTTTAATAAAAGTTGATGTAATAAATAGTTGAAAAGTCGTGAATCTCATTAAATATGTAGTTAAATTAATTGTAGACTTTAACTTAAATTAAAATCTGAATTTTAGTTCCTACGAAATAAGAATTAAGTAAAATTAAATGAGAAATACTATTAATGATTCCACATTTTAGACCCATTTGACGTAGTTTATAATAAAATTTTTAAGTTTTGATAAAAATTAATAAAATGTATAATCAAAATTAATTGTGAACTTTTACTTGAGATTAAAATCAGATTTTAATCGAAACCAAATATTGATTTAATTGAGTCTATTACATAATGACAACTAAATTGATCATAGTGTAACACTGATAATAGTAAATTACACTATTCAATTAGTAAAGCCGAATTGGGATGATAAGATCAAGTGAACCTGCCAACTATATCTATATTTGTATAGAGATTTTTAATTAAAAATAGAAAAAAGTAGCACCAACAATTGATTTTAATTTAATTTATCTTTAATACCTAACGCAATGTGGAGTCTAGCTCATTGATTCATTAATTTAACTTTAACACCTACCACAATGTGGAGACTAGCTCATGTCGGCATTTAAGCCAATCCAAATATCAAATATACTAGTAATCACAGAGATTAATGCTATTATTGATATTATAAAATCAATCTAGATTATATTAAGTTCCTGTTTGTAGGGATTAAGATTATATTTTTAATAAATTTTAATAAAAGTTGATGTAATAAATAGTTGAAAAGTCGTGAATCTCATTAAATATGTAGTTAAATTAATTGTAGACTTTAACTTAAATTAAAATCTGAATTTTAGTTCCTACGAAATAAGAATTAAGTAAAATTAAATGAGAAATACTATTAATGATTCTACATTTTAGACCCATTTGACGTAGTTTATAATAAAATTTTTAAGTTTTGATAAAAATTAATAAAATGTATAATCAAAATTAATTGTGAACTTTTACTTGAGATTAAAATCAGATTTTAATCGAAACCAAATATTGATTTAATTGAGTCTATTACATAATGACAACTAAATTGATCATAGTGTAACACTGATAATAGTAAATTACACTATTCAATTAGTAAAGCCGAATTGGGATGATAAGATCAAGTGAACCTGCCAACTATATCTATATTTGTATATATTTAGCCTCTATGTAATGGGAATTATAATTAAATTTTAGTAGATTTTGATAAAAATTAATAAAATATGAAGTTGAAAAGAAGTGGATCCCATGTAATACTTGATTGTTATTGATTTTGACTTAAACTAAAATCGGGCTTAGTGTAAAAATAGTCAATTATGCAACTTTCAAAGATTGAAAGGTCAACAATAGTGGTTACACGATTCAAAGTCTATTTTGCCCTTCCAGTAATGCGTGTTTATGAATTTTTGTGAAAAAGAAAAAGAAAGAAAAAAGGTCCACGTTTTCTATTCTATGTTTAAACTATTTGTAGCGATAAAGAGAGAGGGCGAGAGAGATTGAAGAATTGCAAGATACTGCAAAAGCTCATTATCAAGCAGGCTGTCCAAAAATTCAGGAATTAGCAGGTGAATTCTTCAAATCAATGGACAGTAATCGAGATGCCCCATCAACTCGTGAAGAGGTAAATTTTCTACATTGTTCTGTTTTTATATACTTAAAAAAAATCTTTCTAAACCTAAAGATTTGTACAAACAATCATACAACGTTTTCTTTAGCTTATATTGAGGAAATCTAAACCTAAGACTTGTCACATAATTTAACAAAAAACTTAGTGATTCGACATGAAGAATAAACTAAAATTTTCCTAATTTCTCTTTTCCTAGTGGCTGCTAGCAGGATCAATGTTTACTCGGTTAAGTTTTCTACGTTGTTAAATTTTTATATACATGAATAGAAATCTTGCTAAATTAGGACGACTAGAAAATTTTTCATATTATATTTTCGGAGAAAGAAATGCAATGCTGCATTTAAAGCATTTGAGGCAGCCCTGGCCACTCTCGAAACTTTGATTGTTGATGCAAACATATCTTCGATTTACAGTGTGTTATTTATTGCAGTTTATTGCTAGAAGAAGTTGTGTCGTACAATAAATAAAAATATCAATGTAAAAATTCGAGATTTGTACAAACCAACTATCATACAACATTTTCTTTGGCCTATATTGAGAAACTATTGTGCAATATTTTCTTTAGCTTATATTGAGGAAATCCATATCTAAGAATTGTCACATAATTTAACAATGAACTTGCCAGTTTCACAAGAAGAATAAACTAGAGTTTTTATAATATTTTCTTTTAGTGGCTGGGAACTGAAAGATCAGGTCGTTGGATTCAGGTAAGTTTTCAGCACTGTTATGTTTATAAATACTTTTAAGAAAATAATCTTTCTCAACTAGGACAACTTGAAATTTTTTAAAATTATATTTTCAGCAAATATGGAATGCTGCAGCTAAAGCGTTTCAGGTATCACTCTCCACTCCCGACACATTGATTGTTCATGCAAACAGATCTTTGATTTTCAGCGTGATCATTTTGGGCAATTCATTGCTAGACAAAGTTGTGTTTGACACTAAAAGAATTGCTAATACAAACATATGAGATCTGTACACACAAACTATCGTCAAACTTCTTCTTTAGCTTATATTGAGGAAATCTAGACCTAAGAATTGTCACGTAATTTAACAAAAAAGTTAGCGATTCGACTTGAAGAATAAAGTAAAGTTTTCCTAATTTCTCTTTTCCTAGTGGCCCCCGGCAGGATCAATGTTTACTCGGTTAAGTTTTCTACGTTGTTAAATTTTTATATACATAAAGAGAAATCTTGCTACATTGGGACGACTAGAAAATTTTTAATATTATATTTTCAGAGAAAAAAATGCAATGCTGCAGTCAAAGCATTTGAGGCAACCCTGGCCATTCTTGAAACTTTAATTGTTGATGCAAACATATCCTTGATTTTCAGTGTGTTATTTTTTACCGTTTATTGCTAGAAGAAGTTGTGTCGTACAATAAATAAAAATATCAATGTAAAAATTTGAGATTTGTACAAACCAACTATCATACAACATTTTCTTAGGCTTATATTGAGAAACTATTTTGCAATGTTCTTTGGCTTATATTGAGGAAATCTATATCTAAGACTTTTCACATAATTTAACAATGAACTTGCCAATTTGACATGAAGAATAAACTAAAGTTTCCATAATATTTTCTTTTAGTGGCAGGGAACCGAAGCATCAGGTCGTACTCGGGTAAGTTTTTCGCAGTGTTATGTTCATATGTACATAAAAAGAAAAATATTGCTACAATGGGACGACTTTGAAAATTTTCATATTTTAATGTCCGAAAAAATGGAATGTAGCATTTAAAGCATTTGAAGTGGTCCACTCCATCCTCTACACTTTGATTGTGACTGCAAACAGATCTTTGATTTTCAGCAGGTTAATTTTGGCAATTTAGTGCTAGAAAAAAGTTGTTTTCGACACTAAACAAATTGCTAATGACAAATTTGAGATTTGTACACACATACTCTCCTGTAATATTTTCTTTAGCCTGTATTGACGGAATCTAAATCTAAGACTTGTCACATAATTTAAAAAAGAATTTACCAACTTGACACGAAGAATAAGTTAAAGTTTTCCTAATAGTTTTCTTTTTGTGGCAGGGAGCTGGAACATCAAGTCATGTAGAGGTCAGTTTTCTGCATTGTTATGTTTATATATACTTTAAAAAATTCTTTCAAGTGGAGGACAACTTGGAATTTCTCATATTATATTTTTAGAAAAAAACGGAATGTAGCTTTTAAAGCATTTGAAGTAGCCGTCACCATTCTCGACACTTTGATTGTTCATTCAAACAAATCTTTGATTTTTAGCATGTTAATTTCGGCAATTTATTGCTAGACGAAGTTGCGTTTGATGCCGAACAAATGGGGAATATAAAAATTTGAGATTTGTACACACAAACTATCGTCAGACTTTTTCTTTGCTTATATTAAGGAAATATAAATCTTAGACCTGTTACGTAATTTAACAAAGAACTTACCAATTTGACATGAAAAATAAAGTAAGGTTTTTCTAATATTTCCTTTCTTGCCAGTCATTGGCAAGATCAAATTTTACTCAGGTAAGTTATCTACACGTAAAAAAAATAAAAAAAAAATAAATAAATTGCTAAACTGGGACGACTAGAAAAATTTTGGTATTATATTTTGAGAAAAAAATGCAATGGTGCATGTAAAGCATTTGAGGCAGCCCTGTCCATTCTCGACACTTTGATTGTTGATGCAAACATTTTCTTGATTTTTAGCGTGTTATTTTAGCAATTTATTGCTAGACAAAGTGGTGTCCGACAATAAATAAAAATATCATCCTAAAAATTCAAGATTTGTACAAACAAATGCTCATACAACATTTTCTTTAGCTTATATTGAGACTTGTACACAAACTACGGTGCGATATTTTCTTTAGCTTATATTGAGGAAATCTATATCTAAGACTTGTTACCTAATTTAACAATGAACTTGCCAATTTCACAAGAAGAATAAACTAAAGTTTTTATAATATTTTCTTTCAGTGGCAGGGAACTGAAGGATCAGGTCGTAGTACTCAGGTAAGTTTTCCGCATTGTTATGTTTATATGTACTTTAAAAAAAAAGTCTTTCTAAACGAGGACAACTTTAAAATTTTTAAAATTATGTTGTCAGGGAAAATGGAATGCAGAAGCTGAAGCGTTTCAGGTAGCACTCTCCATTCCCAACACATTGATTGCTCATGCAAACGGATCTTTGGTTTTCAGCGTGATCATTTTGGCAATTCATTGCTAGACAAAGTTGTGTTTGACACTAAAGGAATTGCTAATACAAACATATGAGATCTGTGCACACAAACTATCATCAAACTTTTTCTTTAGCTTATATTGAGGAAATCTAAGCCTAAGACTTGTCACGTAATTTAACAAAAAACTTACCGATTCGACATGAAGAATAAAGTAAAGTTTTCCTAATTTCTCTTTTCCTAGTGGCCACCGACAGGATCAATGTTTACTCGGTTAAGTTTTCTATGTTGTTAAATTTTTATATACATAAATAGAAATCTTGCTACATTGGGACGACCAGAAAATTTTTCATATTATATTTTTCGGGAAAAAAATGTAATGTTGCATTTAAAGCATTTGAGGTAGCCCTGGCCGTTCTCGAAACTTTGATTGTTGATGCAAACATATCCTTGATTTTGAGTGGGTTATTTTTTGCAATTCATTACTAGAAGAAGTTGTGTCGTACAATAAAGAAAAATATCAATGTAAAAATTCGAGATTTGTACAAACCAACTATAATACAACATTTTCTTTGGCCTATATTGAGTCTTGTACACAAACTATTGTGCAATATTTTCTTTAGCTTATATTGAGGAAATCTATATCTAAGACTTTTCACATAATTTAACAATGAACTTGCCAATTTGACATGAAGAATAAACTAAAGTTTCCATAATATTTTCTTTTAGTGGCAGGGAACTAAAGCATCAGGTCGTACTCGGGTAAGTTTT